AATTAAAAATAATAAAAGAAAAAGAACGAATAAAAATAAAAGTAATTAAAAACAATGTGTATTCAAATTAATAATATGATCTATATTTTACATCTAATCTATTTAGCGCAACATTAAGAAGTATTAAATGTAGATCTGTATTAATTTCTAACATGTTATGCAAAAATTGATAAACATAACACGAAAAATGATAGACATGATACAAGAAATTACAAGAGTATATGAAAATTGTTACAATTAAAATCATAAAAATCAAAAATAATTTTTAAATTTAAATATTTTATTTTTAATATTAACTATATTAATTTGTAACTCTAATTCTGATTTATAACTTTATTTAGAAGCTTATTGAATATTTACTTGAACTCAAATCAGACTTTTAATCAAATTCAAGTTTATTCAAAATTTAAACTAAATTCAAATCAAACTTTTAATTGGATTCAAATTTTTGAACCAGACTTTTGATTAGATTTGAGTTTAATTCAAGCTTGAACTGAATCAGATTTTTTTTCAGAACTCTAGTTTTAACTTTTAATTCTAATCCTAATCCTAATTCTAATGCTAAAACTAATTTTAATATTCTCAATTAATTAGATCTTTGAAGAAAATTAATAAATTTATATGATCAAAATAATTTCTAAAGTATAAATCATATATTAATTTTTAATATTCTAGTTACAATAAAAAAAGTACTAATTATATAATCTAAAATAGGTTTATTAAAATATTTAATTAATATTAAATATTAAGTATTAGATAAGAGTTAAAATAAAATTATATATAAAATTATAATATTTTTTGATAATGTACAAAACTAGATTTAGATATTTATTTTTGTATTTTTCACATTTTTTGTTTTTTCTTATTTTCTTATATTATATTTGTTTTGCTGAATTGATCAAAAAATTATTATATTCCTATTAGTTACACATAATTTTTGCATATTCTTATTAATTGAATTTAATTAATATCACTTAATCAAAACTTTTTTTGTTGTGGCTAGAGTAATACTAATTTTTTAATGGTTTTAATAATATGAAAAAAATACTCTAGTTACAACAAAAAAAATATTAGATCATATTATAATTAATTTAACTAATAAGTATATACAAAAATTATATATAATCAATAAAAATATAACAAATTTTTAATCAATCTGACAAAACAAATTTGATATAAAAAAATAAGAAAAGACAAAAAATATAAAAATACAAAAAACAAATATCTAAATTTAACTTGATATATTATCAAAAATAGATATTTAAATCTAGGTTAATATATTATTAAAAAATAATTTTATATACAATCTTAATTTTAGCTCTAATTCTAATTCTAATACTTAATATTATATTAATTAGATATTTTAATAAATCTATTTCAGATCACATAATTTGATATTTTTTTGCTATAATTAGAATATTTTATAAAAAGTATAATACAAGATATCTAATTTTATAACTTTTAGTATAATATTGTATTTTTTTATTTAGCAAAAAAAATTATTAATTAAAAATTTAAAGTTATTATTTAGACTTAAACTATAATTTAATAAAAAGTTTTTTTAAAAATATTTATTTATTAAAAAATAATAAGAGGTTAAAATTTATCAACTTTATTATAGTTATATCTAATTTAGTTATTATGTGATCATGCTTTCAACTTTTTTCTTTCATTATCAATCTTCTTTTTTTTATGTGTTCATATTTCATTATGTGCAATTGTATTATCAATCTTTCTTTCATGCTCTCAGCTTCTTTTTTTATTATAAATCTTTTTTTATTACATAATAGTTTTCAACTTCTTTGTTACATAATATAATATAATCAGAATAAAGATCAGAATTTGAAAATTTTTCTATTACAACTATTTCGCAAACAAAACATATATATAACAAACTTTCACAAGAAACATTTTTTATTAGAATATAAAAAACAGTTTCAAAAATATGCCTTTTGTTTTTTGTATTACACGTTGATCTTGCGATTTAATTACTGATATTATCAAAAAATTATCACATGACACGCACTAGGATCGTCCTGGTAGTGACATAAAATTTTTTTACCATTAACTAATATATTACCCACCCTCTATATGGCTTCAATATCACCTCGATTCCTTACGGCATCAAACTCGCATCCTACCCCAAACTAACACATTCAATTTTGACTACACTTTCTTCAGAACATGTTCACAATTTTTGAAAAGCTTTTACACTTTATTCTATGAATCCAGGTCTGGGGGAATACGTTAATTGGTTCATAATACATGTAATTAATTTTTAGAATTAGGGTTAGAGTTAGAGTTAAGCTGAAACGCATATTTTTTCAAATTAATGAGCATAATATATTATGAAAAAGGACGAAATTACCTTAAAGAATCTTCGGGTAAATTTTTACAAAGATTTTTTGTTGACAATGTCACGAAATTGGCTCAGGTTGTCTTTTTTAGCTTCTTGTAAATGTGCATTCTTTTTCTTGCTTTTAAGAGCTTGTGACCTTCCATACCTTGGTAAATTTTCTTTTTTCCTATTTCTCTTGTATTCGACAAGAGACCATTATCCCGTCATCGAGTCACGGATCATTTTTCTTGCAACTTGTACGGCACTCAAAACCCCAATCCAAATTACCCATTTTACCCTTGTCAAAGTCGGTCAACTGGAGGCGGTGTGTGTTATATTTACAGCCAACAAATTTCGCCCAGTGTATGTTCAAAAGTCGAAGAAAGAAATAAAAAAAAATTTGCCACATTTAAACTTATGTTGATGTTGCACATCCAAATCGGGTGTTAATCTCTGTGGCGACTGAACAACGAAAGTACATGTAGTATGTTACCAAAATTTGAAATGGAAAAAATTTCTAGAAAAAGAATTCAAGATTTCCTGTTACATGGACAAGAGAATTACCCAAAATACACAGCATAAATTCCACGACCCACTCTGAAACCAAAGTAATTAGAAACCTGCAAACCAATTACAATGTTTGCGATACTTTTTGAGATATTGAATATTACATACATCTATTTCATATTTCTACAAAGCTATTTCACTAAAAAAAATACACATATTTACAGAATCACAATGTAACTAAAGCTCATACCCTTCGAAACTGCGTTTCAACTACATAAACCAAACTATTATTTATTTTCGTGAATTCTTATTTCTGAATCATAAATCAATACTCAACAAAAAACATTCTTTTTATATCGATATATTAAAAAAGTATACGTGATCTAAAGACACGTGCTTATCGTTACCATCAATTTATCATACAGACAGAAACACGTCGTCTCTTAAAATAGATATAGCTCTAGTACCTGAACAAAGCAAATAAATCTTTATTCTTGCCAGCCTCACTAATTAATCTCTTACACCTTCAAAGCTCTAAAATGCCACCGAAAGCAAAACCTGCAGCGAAACAACCGGCTGGAAGCGCCTCATCCACCAAACCAGGAACAACAGACGGCAAAACAGTCCCTTCTCAGAACCTAGCCACCACCGTCGCCGTCAATGACGACAACACTGCTACCGCTTCAGCTAGTACCAGCACCAACGATAACACCAAGTCAGCTGTCGCTGCTACTGAGCCCAAAAAGAAAACACTTGTTACTGCTGATGGAAGTAGTGACAAAAGCGAAAAGAAGAAAAAGTCGAAAAAAAGACAAGAGACTTATTCTTCTTATATCTATAAGGTGTTGAAGCAGGTAAATCTTTTATCTTGTTATTTTCTGTGCATGAAAATTTGAGTTTGATCTTTACTCAAAGATACTTCGATAGGTTCATCCGGAAACTACGATCACCAACAAAGCCATGTCCATCATGAACTCGTTTGTCAACGGTAACTTTAAATCGAGACTGGATTTTCATTACCGTTACATACGTATGCTAACACGATTGACAAAATGAAAATAGACATTTTCGAACGCATTGCTACCGAAGCAGCCCGCCTCGCAACCTACAACAAGAAATCAACAATCAGTTCGCGCGAAATTCAAACTGCCGTGCGCCTTTTGTTGCCGGGTGAGCTGGCGAAACATGCTGTGTCGGAGGGAACTAAGGCGGTGACCAAGTATACTAGCTCTAAATAAATTAGTATCATTATTTCCTACTACGTATTCTACTATTAGTATTTTCTCTATTACCTGATTTGTTAAGTCACTTGATTCTCTTGCTTTTATTTGCAATTTATACTATCTATGCATTGATAACTAGTTACATGTGATAATTAACGTCAATCGTTTTTTTTACACAAAAGTTCTAAATTAATTAATATATCGATACATAAAGCACGAATTCTGTTCTACAGAAAAAAAGTTTTCTCTAAATAGTCTAATCTGTACAAAATACAAATTTCATCTTCCAAATAATCTGTTTCTCTCTACTCTTCTTCACGACTACGTTCCCGCAAAGTTCGAGAACTAACAGCATGAGGTGGCATCAATAAAACAGCATTTGGTGCAACTTTAACATCCAACGGAACAACTTTGGAGATGACAGGAGTTCTTACAATTTTGCCAAACATTGAAGAAGTGTGTAAAATAGGCGTCAATAAAGCAGGTTGTTGTGGTGTTTTTGTTGCACCGTCACCATCCAAATCTTCTTTTCGTGGAATCTCAGAATCACCTTTATCATTCTTAACAACAGCATCTGCATATTCACCTGGCGACGACCTTTTTCTAAAAATATAACCACGTTGTCTATACTTCAAAAACAACACCACAACGATAAATAACAGCGCCCCAGTAGCCACCAACAATCCAATAATCAACCCTTTATTCGTAAAAGAAGAACCTGACGAATTCTGCGTGTAACTAGTGACCCAGGAAAACGACTCAACATCCAACAATGTAATTTTCTCATTGGCTTGATCCGGCGACGTCGTTAGTCTTCCAAATGCGACAATCATGTATCGGTCAAAAAATGTTGCGGTGTGTCTAAACGGTGAAGTCGGGGAATTTGTCGCGGTCTTCTGTTGCCATCTGAAGGAAGTTTCATTGGTGATATCGAGAATTAGGAGATCGGGAGCAGCGGTTTGATTAGATTTATCTTGCCCGCCGTATACTATTATTTGGCAATTCTTTTGTACTGAAGTAGTTTGGTTTATTATCAGTATTTTTTTTTACGCGGAGCAGAGTTCATATCGTGAGAAATGCATATCGATATATATACCTAAAACAGAGGAATGTCCAATTCGAGGTGATACAGAAAATCCTTCACTAGAAGCTGACTACATATGTTGTAAGAAACCACAAAATTAAATTTTAAACGGAGAAACATTACTATCAAAATCAAACCTCAGATTACAAAAATACCTACCACAATCGAAAATGTTTTTTTATCAATATTATACACCCAAATCTAATAAATCAGCACAAGGTAAAATTGAGAAATGTAGAAACCAAGAAAATTTCTGAATCACAATCTCACTTACATTCGACATATCAATAAATTCACCAGTCTCACTTTTTCCACCAATATAAATAATGGAATTATATTTTTCGACATAAGTGGCCGTGTAATCGGCTATCACTGGAAAAAAATTGTCACTTTTCTGAGTCGTGCTCCAGCTATTGTTGTTTCGTGTGTCGAGTATATTGAATTCTGATACGATCTTGGATCCATCACTACTACTACTACTAGTAGTAGTAGTATTATTATTATTATTATTATTGTTATCATCATCTGATTGGGCGTTAGCTGTCGATGCGCTATTATTAGTAGTACTTGAAGTTGGAGTCTTCTTTGATGATGTATTTGATGTACTAGTTGTAACTGCCACTTTATATGTTTTAGTATAACTATTGGCATTAACATCATCTGGAACCTGTCGCTTCTCGTTAACAACAGTTTTTTGCGCATCATATCCACCAAGTAAATAAATTCGTTGCTCATTATCAACCGCACATGCAAGATGACTTCTTTTTGATGGTGGATTGTGGGAATTGGTTGATATAGGTGTAGGTGTAGGTGTAGGTGTGGGTGTGAGTGTGAGTGTGAGTGTGAGTGATGAACTTCTTTCAGATGAAACAGATCTATTTTGTATGACTGGTTTGCCATTGCCAGGACCACAACCAGGAACAACAGGTGAATTATCAACTGTGTATACGCAGGCATATGAGGTTATTGTCAGATCATATGGCCATGGTGATGTAACTGTTGTTAACGAAGGGCTAACGCTATCATCTCTTTTTTTGAAAAGTTTAGGTGTGGGTGTGGGACGAATGCCGCTGATTTCTATTTGTCTTTTTTTCCGGTTCAATGTTAATTCTCTTTTTTTGTGTGCATTACTACTATTACTAGTATGAGAGGAATCTCCCGGCCAATTTGTCGTGTCGAATAGACGTATAGGACTATCCTATCAACGAATATTTGATATTTTATGAACGAAAATAACTAGATTTGAGAAATAGTCTACAAATAAACTTACCCCAGACATCGACCCACCAAACAAATAAATCGTCGCCTTATTAGTCCCACCAACAGCAGCAGTTCCCCACGCAACCTCCGGCACAGAAGCATCCGTCTTTTTCAAATCTTCCCACGGCACTCGATCTTTTCCTGTATCGAACGATGCTGATAGATCCAACGTGAAGAAATCAGCTCGTGGCGACGAAGAATTTGTAAAGGTTCCATCGGGTGATGCTCCTATGCCACCGAGAAAATACAACTTTGTGCCAATTAGTGTGGCTGTGTGTGCGTATCGTGAGGCGGGGATGTATGGGGTTGGTTGCGATCTTTTTATGTGTATGAATTTTGGAGATACGGATAGTGGGTGGAGTAGTATTAGTAATAGTATTATTGTCAACAATAGTGTTATTGAAATGATGTTTGACATTTTCTGGAATTTTGGAATCATGACTGCAATAAATAACGAAAATTTTCTATTTTGAATGCAAGAAGCATCGGTTGGTTGGTATCATACAAATAAATTAGGATGTCTACTAACAAAATTCTGTCGAATTTTTTTTTATTGTTCGTGCGAGAAAACTAACGAGAAAATAAATTTCACGTCAAAAATCCCATCATCAACAACTTAAAACCGAAAACAAACACCAAAAAGTGCGGTAAATGGTCATACAATCCAGCATGCTCAAAAAGAACAAATAAATCAGCTTTTTTCGCATTTTTTTGGAATTTTGCCAATACCGATACGCACAGTACATATTCCGATGTGATTGCTTGGCGTTAAAAAACATTGACACTGTATATTTCATTATGATATTTTGGATTTCTAAATTTAGTTAAGAAATCTGTATCCTACATGTCTCATGTATGTGTGTCAGGATGTATGCATAGCATATCCATCTCCTTCTCCATTTTAGTTCAGAAAAGAGGACCAAAATATAAATTGCAGTTCATTGTATGTCCACTAAAGAAAACATGCGAACGTAACAAAGGAAACAAACGTAACGGTAACAGAATTGTGTAATTTAAACTTGAGAAACAGAAAGAACCTCGTTTTCTTTTTTTAGGAGACCTTTTATCGATTGATGTAATCTTGGGCCGATTACAACTATATCGAGGATCTGTTTGAAGTACTGGTATGTACATGTACATGTATACGTATGCAAGAACCCTGACTAGAAATCTGTGCGAAACGTTTTATTCAGTTGCCTAATCGAGACAATACTTGTAACAGTGGGTGCATGGTTTACATTGTTGGAAAACTTTGATTATTTTAATATAAAAGGAGCAACGTGCACTTTGATACGTACATGTATATGGTAAAAATTATTACATTAATCTAATGGCTCTATTAGTTTACATTACTGCCTGCTTTACAACTGTAGCCTAATTACTTGTTAATTCCTTAGCACATATGACCGTGATCCGAGACTTTTCAAGCGTAATCAAAGAATCAAACATAACATACACAGTACGTAATGATTTGGATGTATCTGCTAAATTCGTGTATTGGGGTGTTATATCAGGAAAAACATTTTAGTTGGATTTTTCTTTCTATAAATTAAACAAAATTATTTCTTGTTGGTTTGATTAATATTTATTGAATTTCGACCAAACATTATTCAATTCCTCATTGAATTCCAACAATGTAACAAATATGTCTATTTGACACTAATCAACTCGAATAGGACTGTTGATCGAGTTAATCGAATCTGTAAATGACTTGAAAATGAGCATAATGCCCGCTGAATTTTTGAAATATCTTCCACAGGGAATCTGGTATAAGATGAATTCATTCGATATTTTAATCTGAAATTCACTGGAATTTGTTTTAAAATTCACTATCTTTAACTGAAACTCACTGATTTTATAAAACAACATGCATGCCAGATTCATATGAGAGTCTCGTATCCCACAATATTAATCTTGTCAAATTTGTATGATCCGAAAAAAATTATAGAGGTGATAGAAAACGACACGTGAATATAGCGCTCAACATTTCTTTCTTGCTGCATCAGAACTTGAGAAATTAGATGCTCAACATTAGTATATGTCGCAAGATAGTTGACTTACTCAATGTTTACTAATTTAACGCGCTGATTTTTCGGAACTGATAAATAAGGTGTTTGGTATTTTGACGCTTCAAATTTCGAGAATTGACACAGTTGATACTTTTGTCGGTTTGCCTTTGTTAGGCAGACATTGACAATTAAATAAAACTCTGTATTTAAAAAAAGTTTGGCAAGTATTTTGATAACAATTGTCTGTACATGTATAACGTGGAAATTATCGCGTCTTTCGTGTGGTGTATTGAAATTACATATGTCAACACTAAAATTTTTCTTTCTACACGTAATTCACGTATGTGATTTGGTCCTGTATTAATTTCTGAACTTTACTTACCAAACCCCATGTTTGAGATAGATAAATAGGTAAAAGTTTAATGCACACAAAAAAGTAAAGTTACATTTATGTGGTAAAAGCCAAGTCATTCTTTAACGTTAACTTCTACCGTAAATCGAAATCATGCAGATTATAACGATAACATGACAAATGAAAACAAACATATTTTATAAAAATTAATGATTATTTCCATTTGAAGGAATTTTGACGTGTTAAAGGTCAAAAAGCCGAAAATGGAATGAGATAGAATAGTTCAAGAAATATGAGTTCTTTATGAAATCGCATTATATTTTGTATAATTCAATATAGCAATGTTTTATTCTAATGTTTGTGAGAATTTTTAATATCGATATAGATATGGAATTTAGACTAACCTCTCAATTTCCGATTGGCTAGTTTTTAAGATGCTGCGGAATATTGCAAAATAAGTAAAATACTTGCCAAAAGCCAGAAATGAGAATAGTGCGTAAAGCTCATTTTAAATGCCTGTGTAAAGAAGGCACATTGGAAGATGCTGTCAACCTTGAAAATAAAGGGTGAGCTTTGACCGAGATTATTGAAAAGAATATGGACTATAGAATGGACCGAAATCTGCAGAGAAAAAACGTTTGAGATCGTACAATGTCCGAAGACTACATTTACATTGCCCAGAAGAATTACTACGGATCAAGAATTAAATTGAACAGTGCTCAACAGAATTTTGGGTTTTCTTGTAAAATTGTCAGAATCATATACTGTAGAACGGAGATAAACGAGCTTCGTGCAAAAAAAATTTATTGTCGCAACAAATCTAGGTGCAAATTTGCATAGTGATAGTAAAAAGCTATCGCTATAGATTTTATTCAAGCCTTATCAATAATAAATGCAATATTTCTGACAGACAAATACGTTTTAACAGCGAGTGAGGCACTCAAATCAACAAATTGTTGTGAATCCCTTGAATAGGTCACAGAAGATTTTGGTGCAAAAATTGTGAATTAGCTAAATCTGGCATCGATATTATAATTTGTAGGATGACGTCTTTAGATTATTAACGTTAAGGTGTTAAAGTTACACGTGATTGTATTGGCCAAAAATTGTGTCGATCAGTTAATGCCAGGCAAATTAAATTAATGATTATGTTTGAAAACGTGAAATGATCAATACACAAACACAATCTTGTTTGCTGAATCATATTTTTGTTGGCTTGGATCAATGCTCAGAAAAAGATCACGGTGTCTTTAATCATACACCGATATACGCGGAATACAAACCTTTACACTTTGTTGATGTGGGAAACAAGCAAATCGCAACATTTTAGTCATTCTAACGGGAATGACTAACACTATAACTATAGTTTTTGCTCTCATTTTATATATAGAATAGAACTTGAATTGTCATCGAATTTTATCAATTTTAGATGTGCATTAATTCGCTATGATTATACAAGTATTACTTAGAATCTTTTTATAACTTCGATATATAATAAAGAAGGAGGATTAAAGAGTTTTATATATATTATGAGCAAAAGTAAATATATTTATATGTTGATTTATTTAAAAGCTTTCTGAATCTATAACAATAACGTATAGACATGCATATTAGAGTCACATAAATCTTATGGAGCTAGCACACTACAATCTGTTACACATTATGAGGGTAATATACACCCATAGCCAAAAATTTACCCACAAATAAAGCCAATTCGTATTTTCTATATACATGTAACTATCATATTAATGCTTAAACATATAATGCAAGCAACTAACCCAAATTTTCTAATTACTACAGTCAGACCTCGATTTAGCGACTATGCGATTTAACGATCACTAATTAATATCTTACTTTAACAACATCACTCTTAAACCCCTTTCCGCAAGAGCACATATAAAAATTTGTATATTACCGACCCATCATTAAATCGAGGTCTGACTGTATATCTAGCAGTTTATATTCTTTATGAAATACAGATATCTTTGAAATTAAATATCGATATAGGTTTTGAAATCAATAATTATTATTCATAACCATGTCTCTGTTAGTTTATTAGTACAGCAGCCATCAACGTTTGAAAAAACATACCGATACGTAATTAGATTTCCTTATTGGGAAATACGCTGATCGGCATAATTATTTTTACCTTACTGTGCCTCATTTTTAAACGCTCAAATATCTCACAAAAAATACCATTATATAATCAAAGAATAAAAAATAATGTGATTAAATTATAATATATTTAATTGTCAATTTTTAATTTGAAAAATATTGGAAAAAAGCTAATTTGCACAAATTATTTTCACTTTACTGTGGCTCATTTTTTTGACGCGAAAATATTTTAACCGAAATGCCATTACATGTCCACAAGTTTTATCATCGCTTTTGTGTTGTCAAAAACTTTAAAAGCCTAAAAGCGGCGAGTTTTGAATTTTTGGAGTTATAGGAATGGAATAATTCAGAGTAAAGAGTATTTTTTTGGGCTCGAAAGTAAAAATTAATTTTTGGAAGGATCGACAATGATATCGATATGTCAGTGATTTACGCAGAAATTATGGTAATGTGCATGTAATTTAAATTTGTAATTTCCGGATTAAACATAATCAACTAATAATCAACCGATTAGCTATTACATAACTAAGGCTTCATCAAGCAATGCCCGGAGAAAAATTCCCGAGTCCCTACTAATCCGAATCCCACATGCATCGCACCTATATAAACTCTTGTTTCTACCCAAATCCCGCTTAACGTATCCACAATAACCACGTTTTGATTGTGTATGCTTCTGCTACCGAAGTTATAACAATCTTACCAAATTCTTCCATCTTAAATACCAATCGTTTCCTATACTCGCATGCTCATCTTCCGAACTGTTCTATTATTAATTAAGTCTTCTTCCTTGTCGGTGTCGTGACATTCATATGCTATATATCAAAATACTATTATATCAAAAGTACCAGGCAACCACAATGGAGTTTTTTTGTGTACTTCATCCACTAAATTTTGGATGCATTTTCTTTAAACGAGCTTGTGCTCGTTTTATAGAGTTACGCTTCTTTGCTGGTGCTTTAGTAGTGCGTGAACTAAGTGTATCCAGAGACGTACAATACGGTTAATATAGCCGATGGGTGAATACCATGTGAGAAAAGTTCAGACACCAAGATCAATGGCTGCAACATATATGTCTTCCGTTTGATTCTCACGGACAGACTTTATACGCCCATACATGGACAAACGTCCAATATCCTAATTTTCTCTCGTATATTATTTTCGAGTCCATTGTAACTTTTCCAGTATCATTCGGCCAACAATGCTTGCTTGTATCTTCGAAATTCGTGATGAAATGGTGGCTTTGCTAAACCTTTGTAGAGGCAAAATGAAGTATGTTGCAAGGATCTGACTTTTTCTCTTTCGATTTCTTGCAATGCCTTCATATCTGGCCTGTATATGATCAAGCACCTCATATGGCACCTTTTCCATAAATGCCCATTCCTTTGTGTGTCTAATTTTCAGCCGAAGAAGCACTCTGAAAAAAAACTGCTTTATAGTTCTATAATGCTGACGGTAATTGATTATTATAAACCAGTCTAGCACAACCCCTCCACTGTCGGAGCAAGATCTTCTGAGAATAATTGGGATACTTTCGTTGTTTCTTGCATTTCTTGCTTTTTGTCTTGTTTCCATTCTAGTCTGTATCTAGAAAATAAGTGATTTAATTTGGTTTTGGTGAAAGTGCAAATAAATAATATTTACCTAACAGATCGCTTTCCTTATTGTCGGCAGATGAAAATGGTGTTAATTGTGAGGATATCCTGAGATAGTTCCCATTCATCCGTTGGATTGTCATTTGAGAAAACCACGAGCCTTTACTATTAAGGTGGAAGATGAACTCGATGAGGTCGAAGGCGAACCTACAGAGCCTGTCTCTGTGGGCAACCACAACCTCCGTGGCTCGATCGTTCCAATAGGGAATGCAGTCCGGGTCTCTTGAAGTTAATGCCGGAGCCGATATCTGAGATGAGGTGATGGTTTGGGAATTGTGAGAGGTATGTTTTTGTCTTTCAATATCTTCTTTCTGTTTTGAGCTGGAGACTCTCGCGTAAACAAAGCATTCATGTTGTGATGCCAAGGTGGATGAGGTGGTGATGGTGGTGGTATGGTAGAATCATCAGTATTGTGGCTTCCGAGCATGGATTAGACATTATAGGCACTTTGTCCCGAGGGAAGTCTAGAAGTGTGTATTTTGCCATATTTATTCCAGCGCGAGATGTGCTAGCTGAGCCGCCGAAAAATTTGGATGCTTTAGATGCAGAAGTCAGTAAGTTTGTTATAACACGAAACTTGAATGGACATTCAAAGATATTTTATATACTTTTGCAGTTAATAAAGAAATAATGCAACAGCTGTTAAAGCGTTCCGAAACCAGAAAAGTCGTTTTGGCGGTTGTGATGTGAAAAAAATTTTTAAGAGTGGAACGGGTTTTAAGAACAAAACGATGCAAGGAGAAAAAATTTCAGCCACGCTCTGAATAACTTAAAGAGGAAAGATAACGATAATGTAAAAAAATAATTTAATAAAATAATAGCTTTTTGATTAAGCTATGATTTGGTTAGATATAATTTTGTGAAATTACAATTTTGGCGTTTAATAATATCGATATTATATTATCGCTATACGTAAAAAGAGTTCTGGTTGATTATTAATTGACAGTATTGGATGCTGTCCCCCAATATATCTTTTTCTCATCGATAGCTTTGAAAAGGTTATAAATATTCTTTGCCCTTTCTACTCTTTTCTCAATTGCATTTCTTGAGAGATCATTGGGAAGCTGTTTTGCGATTTCATCGATAAGTTTTTTCTGAGCCATACGATCTCTAAGTTTTTTTTATAGCTGTCAACCTATTCTCAAGTTCTTTTTCAAATGCATAATAAGCATCTAATAACTTCTTGATTGATGCTCTCAATTCGTTTTGCAGCCTTAATAATTGCATTGTAAAATTACCAGAGTTCGTGATAGTTTTGGTTTGTGAAGCGATCGTACTCGATGAAGAACTTGGTGATTCTAACTCCTTGATAAGTTTTTTTCACATGGATGAATCCTTGTCCTTCTTTTCACTAGCCTTTTAACTTTTTTTATTAGATGATTTATCGACTCATTAGTGCCTTTGAGTGATGAGGCGATCGCATCTGGTGTCTTTACTTTGTAAAATATTGGCGCTACTATCGAGTAGTGGAGGGCGCATTCTGCTTCAGGTCAGTAAATTAGGTTTCACACCCATCTATAGACTTGCGAACAGCAAGTCGTTTTCCGGTTTCTGCATGAAATAACTTCATTTCAAGGGCTCTCAATAAAGATATAACTTCGTTAAAAAAAAGATACTCTTTTATAGAATACTCTTTATAAATTAAAGATTGAAAATGCATAGGTTGTTAGAAAAGAGTCATAAAAGAGAGAACGTCCAAAAATGTGAGAGAATGTGAATCGACCCATATAATGATCATGAACGAACAAGTTGTAGAATCTATCAGAGAAACGATGATCACCAAGCAGTGGTCATTTCTTGGAAAGTTACTATATCGATATAATTCGATTATACGTTCACTCCAACAAGTTAATAAACTTTATTATTTAATGTTTTTTTATCTTTAATTTAATATAGGTATGCTTATGAACACTTTGTTATTGCTTGTTCTATTTTAAGTTATTAAATGTCACTGTATATACATTGTAAAGTGCTGGCTATAGTACCTAAAGCCAGTCCTAAAAGACTGTAGTCTTTGAGTCCAGTCTTTTTAGGCATCGTGACTATGAGAAAAGACCAATTTAGTATGTGATCGTAATTCGTTTTAACAATCTAGTGTCTAACGAAAATGCTATTATATAAGCTAAGGACTGATACGTAAAGACCGTCTTTGGTTTTTAATGGTCTTATCATGTTACACATATTTGAGACCACGGTCTTGGTCCTACATTTTATAAGACTAACATAGTAGGACCGGCCAAAAAGTAAATGTAATCGACCCTCAAGAAACTACTAACGTTAAACGTAAAAAGGTGTAACAATGAGCACATACTACATGTACGCACGTATACGAAAAAAATTTATTTGAGGCTTAAAAAGTATGCACTCTGTAAAAAAAAGCTTTTAGTCGACTTGAATTTCCCCAATATATACAGACAAAACTTGTTGGATCCTGTGTTTTGTTAAAAGTCTGGACTAGCATATAAAAATTTGTACATGTACAATGCATAACGATAATCTGTTCCTGTGTCATTTTTTATGCATAACATTACACGGACGAACGTTCTTTTTAACACATCGATATACATGTATCATTATTATTTTAACGCCATTTCAAAGTTCCAAATAAAACACGGCACATAATCATTAAGTGAACTCAAAGATGGAATTTTATGCTCATAATTGTAGTGAATGCGGTTATTGTCAACAACGGAATTACTGCGATGAGTGTTCAGTTCACAATACTCATGATTGTAGTAAATGTACCGATTGTCAAAAAAATGAGTTCTGCCTTGGGTGTATTCTATATCACAAACGAATTTATGTTGAACTGTCTAGTGGGAATAAAGATATCGCCAGTCTAATAAATGAATGCGACAGAATTGCTAGTGAAGATAGATTCTTTGAATGGATCCCTTTTGAAAGATTGACCGATGTTGAATATCTTGCAAAAGAGGATTTTGCTTCAATTTATAAAGCATCCTGGTTGGACGGTCCGTTAAGCAAATGGGATCATAGAAAAAATAAATTTAAACGATGGAGAGAACGTAAAGTTGTATTGAGATCACTCAATTCAAAGCAAATTACATCCGAGTTTATAAATAAGGTAAAATAAGCACCTTTGATGTGTAAGCATATTGCTTTTTTATTTTTCAATATAGTTAACTTTTTCAAATTAGATTCAGACTGTTCTAAAGTGCACCACATATATAAATTATTATGGAATAACTAAAGACCCAGCTACAAATGAATACTCGATAGTGATGGATTATGCAAAAAATCTACGCACATATATGAATTCCAACAACCAAGAATTGAATTTGGAACAACAATTAGAACATTTAATTGATATTATCGATGGGCTACGTACAATTCACGAAAAGGGATTTGTGCATCATAATCTTCATCCCGAAAGTATATTAATGTCGAATGGTAATGCTCAAATTGCTGGTTTTGGACTTGTCAGACTAGCAGATATAGATAATATAGAAAATACTGATCAAGAAATTTACATGAGTCCAGAGGTACTAGGTGGAAAGCCATACACTAAAGCTGCAGATATTTATAGTTTTGGGATGGTTATGTACGAGATTGCCACAGGTGAACGACCATTTGGTGAACGAAGGCATGATGACTATTATGTATACGACATCTGTAAAGGAGTACGACCTACGATACCAACTAATGTTCCTGAATTATTCAAGTTTATAATTGAAAAATGTTGGGATCCTAATCCAGCAAACAGACCAACTGCTGAAGAACTTTACGACTTTATCAACTCTATTTACACGCACTATTCCGCAGACGACAATGTGCTTAATTTTGACATTCAGTACAAACTGAATACTTTGCATTGTCAGTACTACAGCTCTAAGACACATGAAGAAATTAAAGAATGCCTTAAATTAGAAGTGCAGAAATTAAATGAGATGAAATTGCAAAAAAGAAATATTCGCGAATATATTAAGTCAGACTATAAGAAATTGAGATGGGAAATAAAATTAAAATATTTAATTGATATTATCGACGGGTTACGTATAATCCACGAAAAGGAACTTGTGCATCGTGACCTTCACCCTGGAAATATAGTAATATCGGATGGTAATGTTCAAATTGTCAATTCTGAAGTTACCGGCCCAGCAGACATAAAAAAGTCTAATCAATTAATTTACGGAGACCTTCCTTATATTAGTCCAGAGGTGCTAAATGAAAAGCCATATATTAAAGCTGCGGATATTTATAGTTTTGGGATGGTCATGTACGAGATTGTAATAGGTGAACGACCATTTGGTGAGCGAAGTCATGATAGAGATCTTATATTAGACATCTGTAATGGAGTACGACCTAAGATACCAAACGATGTTCCTCGATGGTGCAAATTCATCGTTGAAAAATGTTGGAATACTATTCCAGAAAACAGACCGACTGCTTCGGAACTTGTCGACTTTATCCGCTCGTACTATTCAGAAAGTTATTTGGAATTGAATGCTTTGCATTTTCAGCACTACGGATCTTTAGAATCTAAAACACACGAGGAAATTAAAGGATGTCTTAAATTAGAAAGGCAGGAATTAAAAGAACTAGAAGAATACATGATCCCAATTGAAAGATTTACTGATGTTGAATATCTAGCAAAAGGAGGTTTTGGAACGATTTTTAAAGCAACCTGGTTGAACGGACCATTGAAAAATGATAAATTCAAACGACGCGAAGTTGTGTTGAAATTTTTCCGTGATTCAGAGCAAATTATATCAGAGGTCACAAAAGAGGTAAAAACGAAAAATTTCTAGTGTAATAAAAAGCTTTTTTTGTTTTCTAATCTAAATAAGTTTGTCAAAAATAGATTCAGACTTCTCTAAAATGCGCTCATAATTATATTAACTATTATGGAATAACTAAAAAAAAATCTACACATGAAGGTGAACACCGATACGCGATAGTAATGGATTATGCAGAAGATGGTGATCTCCGCCAGAATATTAACTCCAACTACGAAAAATTGACATGGCAAACAAAATTAAAATATTTAATCGATATTCTCGATGGGCTGCGTACAATTCACGAAAAGGGATTTGTGCATCGTGATCTTCACCCTGGAAATATATTATTATCGGATGGTAACGATAATGCTCAAATTATCGATTTTCAAGTTACCGGCCCAGCGGATATAAAAAAATCTAAAGAAATTTATGGAGTACTTCCTTATATTGGTCCAGAGGTGCTAGGGAGAAAGACTTACACTAAAGCTGCGGATATTTATAGTTTTGGGATGGTTATGTATGAGATTACAACAGGCGAACGACCATTTAATGAGCGAGACCGTGATAAAAACCTTATGTCTGAAATTTATAAGGGAGCACGACCCAAGTTACCAAATAATATTCTTGGATGGTGCAAATTTATTATGAAAAAATGTTGGGATCCTATTCCAGAAAACAGACCAACTGCTGAGCAACTTTACGACTTTATCAACTCTATTTACACGTACTATTCCGCAGACAATAAAGCGCTTACTTTAGATATTCCGTGCAAACTGAATACTTTGCATTGTCAGTACTACAGCTCTAAGACACATGAAGAAATTAAAGAATGCCTTAAATTAGAAGTGCAGAAATTAAACGAGATGAAATTGCAAAAAAGAAATATTCGCAAATATATTAATTCCAACTACGAAAAATTGAAATGGGAAACAAAATTAAAATATTTAATTGATATTATCGATGAGTTACGTACAATCCACGAAAAGGAACTTGTGCATCGTGACCTTCACCCTGGCAATATAGTAATATCGGATGGTAACGTTCAAATTGTCAATTCTGAAGTTACCGGCCCAGCAGACATAAATAAGTCTAATCAAGTAATTTGCGGAGTCCTTCCTTATATTGGTCCAGAGGTGCTAAATGGAAAGCCATACATTAAAGCTGCGGATATTTATAGCTTTGGGATGGTTATGTACGAGATTGTAACAAGCGAACGACCGTTTGATGAGCGAAATAATGATAGTGTTCTTGTATTAGACATTTATAAGGGAGCACGACCTGAAATACCAAATAACGTTCCCGGATGGTGCAAATTTATTATTGAAAAATGTTGGGATCCTATTCCAGAAAACAGACCAACTGCTTCGGGACTTTACGACTTTATCAACTCTATTTACATGCACTATTCCGCAGACAACAAAGTGCTTAATTTGGATATTCAGTACAAACTGAATACTTTGCATTCTCAGTACTACAGCTCTTTGGAATCTCCTAAGACACATGAAGAAATTAAAGAATGTCTTAAACTAGAAAAGCAGAAATTAAAAGAATTTGATGAGATGAAGTCGCAAAAAATCATGAACAAAAAACAACAAATCCACCCAAACACCAGTCTAATCTTTACGGGAAAACAAATCCATTCACATGCAGTTTACTCCAGTCGAATAATCTACACAAACGCATTTCACAGTAAAATAATCGAGACAAAATTAATTACAGGTACTTTTATTTTGAAATATAAATCATATTAACATTTCATATTAATTAAAAATTATTTATTTATTTAGGCATTATAAATACATGTAATATCGATTTGAGTATCGATTGGAATAATATATCGAGCACCTTGCTAAAAAACCTACAGATTCAAGATGAAAAACCTCCAACAGAGTAAAAAAATATATATATTTTAGACTTTATTAAATTAAATTGACAACAATATCTTTTTATTAACTGTGTCTCGAGTTAAAGCACAACAACCAAAAGCAGTTTTTACTTTTTTATCAGAATTTATTTATTTATATAAAAGTTATTTATTTTACTTAGGATATTTTATCTTATAGTTTATTCGTTTGATTGCTATGTTTATTAATATAACGACACATTAAAATTAGAAATTTTGAGTTTATATCAAAGCAAAATTCGATATCGGTATATTGCTATCGCTATGTAATGAATATCACAAAGTTGAATGGTCTAGTGAGAATAAAGATATCGATATCGCCTGTTTAATAAAAGAATGCGCAGAAGTTATTGATAAACACTAAAAAATTTATAACGATAAGACATTAATTATTG